GGGGTGCAGTGTGTGATTGTTAAGGGTGCAGTGTATGATTTTGAGGGGTGCAGTGTGTGATTGTGAAGCGTACAGTGTGTGAGGGGTGCAGTGTGTGATTGTTAAGGTTGCAGTGTGTGTGATTGTGAGCGGTGCAGTGTGTGTGGGGAGTAATGTGTGATTGTTATGGGTGCAGTGTATGGTTTTAGAGGGTTGCAGTGTGTGTGATTTGGATGAGTGCAGTGTTTGTGTGTGATTGTGAAGCATACAGTGTGTGAGTGGTGCAGTGTGTAATTGTGAGTGGTGCAGTGTGTGATTCTTAAGGATGCAGTGTGTGTGATTGTGAGGGGTGCAGTGTGTGTGGGCTGTAGTGTGTGATTGTTAGGGGTGCAGTGTGTGTGTGATTGTGAGCGGTGCAGTGTGTGATTGTGTAAGCTCGCTTGAGCAGGGCCCTCTTCAACCTATTGCTCCTGTAAGTTTTGTAATTGTCTAATTTATTGTTAAATCTCCTCCTTTGATAATGTTGTAAAGCACTACGGAATATGCTGGCACTATATAAATACCAGTAATAATAATAATAATTATGAGCAGCAATGTATTTACCGCGGGTGGCAAAAAAAACACCACCCAAGCGCCCTGGCAAATGCCTTGCCAGCCTCTTGTCCTGGTGATCTGGTGACACTGTATTCCATGGTGGTCCCGTGCACCACATGGAATCGAGCGTTGCCATGGTAACCACGGCGACGCTCTGAAACACTGGAACTTGGTGGCAGATGTATATGAGAAGACTTACAAGTGAAATCGTTTGGCGACATATTTTCTCGGGGGTGGGGGGGCAATTGCCCCAATGCCCCCACCCTGGATCTGCCACTGGCTCAACCCCAATCAAGCAGCAGACATTTTCCATGCTGGGAGACCAAAGTTAACAAAGATTGAACTCTGACAAGCTTACCTTCATTTTGATGTCTGGGGTGTCATTAAGAGGGGAATCATGCCGTGCCCCCCCTTACATGGTGTCTGGTTGCTCTGTGGAGTCTCATCCTGCAGGCCAGCCTCATCTGAAATCACTTCATCAAGTGCTGCAATGCGTAAATTGAGGATTGTCCCTCATCACCGCCCAGGTTACACCACCAAATATCTGATGTCCCACTTAGACTCCGGATAGGACAGAGCCTGTTTGGTTCTGGCAGCCTTGAGTGCCATGTAAAGGCACCTCGAGTGCCATGGGTGTGCCATAGGTTGCTGACCCCTATTCTACAGTATAAAAGAATAGGTTTCAGGGGTGAACTTGGTGAGCTTTAGGTTTTTTTCTACCTATACTATTACGCAACTATGTTATAGTGAGGCATGAATTATTAAAGTTGATACTTTAAGCTCAGTATTCCAGGTCAGTATTTTAAAATTGACACAAACTCTTTCTGGCACTTTTTGTCATTTATATATGTATATGATACATAAACACATATGTGTGGATTTATGTGTAGATATTTATTCATGTTAGGATATATACTTGAACACTCAAAGACTGTTTCGCACAATGTATAATACATAGTATGTTATTGAAAGTGTTGAATATTCATAGTACATTGTCCTTGAGGAAAACATGCATTATGTCCACTAGGTGGAGCTCTAGGTACAGCTATCGACCAAGAAAATACTACTGATCAGCGACAGAAGCTTTCCTGAAATTGAGAAAATATTTGGGACACTTCTTCCTAGAGTCAGGGCTGAGAGAGTATGTTTTTAAAGAGGTATATTCACTAAAAGGTAAGATCTGGTGACTTACAAAAATAACAGCAAAATAAAAAACCCTTAGTTAACTCTCTCAACGGAGAGTAGTGAATTTACAATTCACTTGTCACTTACTGACAATTCAATCTGTACTGGGTAACTTTGATAGATTGTTGAGATTATTTACTAAATTCCAAATTGTAATGAATTAAAACCTGAATTGTAAAATTTAGGCACAATAGCTGATTTGGAAAAATCCCTCCATTCACCCATAGTGTGGTTATTTTAGGTTGAATTTCACAGTTTGGACTACAATGCACTGTTTTAGACTTTAGCATATTGATCCAGTATTTTACTAAATTTAACCCTTTAAGATGAGATGACATGCAGGCATCGAGGAGAAATCTTGTCGCGTTGAATGTATTCAAATCCATATATTCACAAGAGAAATCCATCTTTAAGATTTATATTATGAGCCATGCATTCAGCCCCCTCTTTAATTAACTATAAACATGCTATATAATGCACAATGTGTTGAACTTCTATTTGCCACTGCCAAGTTTGATGGCAGGGCATTTTTCTCCTGTTATGCAGTTACATAATGTTACTATGCCAAGAGAAACTACAATTTTACATTGAAGTCATTTGTGTTTAGAAGATTTACAGCAATAAGGGGGTAACTTTGCCACAGAAGTTGTTAGGCACTCAGCAATTCCTGAACATCCATGCAAAATATACAATTACATTTGTGTTTAAATAGCATTGTGTATCTTGGCATATTACACACCTTGTTACCAACATATGAACTTCTTAACATGATTTAATTCTTCCATTTTGTTTATTTTTGTCTGTATTGTTAAAAAACTAATGACAATAGGATATAATAATATGTAATTGTATTATTATTATTATTATTATTATTATTATTATTATTATGCAGTTGTGATACATAGTACACAAACACACAAGACATGATGGATGTATTTCAATAAGCAACAGATAATATATTTGTTGGTTGTTTTTAATAAGTAGCTCTGCTATCGTAAATCACAGGTATAGATCATATTTACTGAACTCTTTCTAATGCCTCTTGTGAGTTGCTAAAATGCCATTTCAGGGGGGTTCAATATGACTGCTCAAAGATAAACTATACTTGAATTGCAAGTTATGGAAAAGAGTCACCAAGGTAAGTTAACACAGTGAGCAATTTTACACCTACCCAGATAGCAGCCTCGATGCTGATTCGTAGAATACTGACTTATTAGCGTCAACTACCAAGGAACAGTCAATATGCACTATTATGTGATCAATGAAAACATAGCAGGTCTGGCTGTTTTAGAAAATAGTTAAAGCATCTGGGTAGGGGGGAATCACCCTATTAAAGTGGGAAACAACTATATGCCTGCCTCACCACACAGCAGCAGGACGCAGGGAAATGTATGGAACAAAATGGATCCAGTAGACCACCATTATAATTTAATCCTTCCAGTCCACTTGCCAGAGAAAGGGGAGAAAGAGTGACCTGCACAGCCTCTGCTCAATATTAACTCACTGACAGCACATGGAGCATAGGAATAGGGTATTCGATGTGAGGCTAGGAGTGGAAGCAGGTGCACAGTTCCCTTCCAGTTTTGGACCCCTATTTTAATATCAGCTGGCAGCTGGCTTTGTTTACTATATTGCTGCTTACTATAGAACGTTAGGAATCAGTAACCTATGTACAACCTTCCCCCCTGGCACTGTGCCAGGACTCAGGTACCAGTTTGCTGACTCGTCATAACTTGCTTGGTTGTTTTTCCAGCTGTGTCTGATCTGGGCAGTGGGATAAATATTCGCCATATTGATATTTTCCTAATGTGCAGACCTCAAAAGCCAGGGAATTTAGGACATCTTCAATCCTACCATCCCTACTTGGTGGTTTTTATTTTTTCATATATCGTGGGTAGCTATAATATTATGTACTGTACGTTGTACTGAACAATATAATGCTATGGTTATTAGTGTCTTTGGGTTGGGTTTAAACTATCTTCAAAAATAATAATCATTTAATTCTGCCAGTTACTGAATGCTGGAGAGATTGGAATAATGTGAGTGTCAATTCTAAGGTATCAGTTATGAATCCATCCCATTGGCGATACCGTGTGATTTGCACTATTTAGTGCAAACAAGGTTACATTCATTAACTGATATGCGCATAGTGTACGTGCTTGCAGAAAACACATCGTTTTTTCTTTAAACGGGACTAGTATCCTGTCTGGATAGCTACATATTTATCTCTAAACAAAGGCAATCGCTAATTAGTGATCAGATATTTTAAGTGGAAACATGAAATCCTGACAACTCTACTAATATAATGGGATTTCCTCTTAGTAGGAAATAGGACAGACAGACAGACAGATCGATAGATAGATAGATAAGATAGATAGATAGACAGACAGACAGACAGACACAGATAGATAGATAGATAGATAGATAGATAGATAGATAGATAGACAGACAGACAGATAGATAGATAGATAGATAGATAGATAGATAGATAGATAGATAGATAGACAGACAGACAGACAGACAGACAGACAGACAGACAGATAGATAGATAGATAGATACACAGAGTGACAGACAGACAATAAATAAATAAATAAGTAAATTGACTGAAATAATTATCACTCTTAATATATTTATATCCACTTTCATATAACTTGGTGGTAAAGTGATGATTTGCCCATTTCTTTAAACTCTGTTTAATTCATTTATCCAGACACTATGTATGCCTGTATTTCACGGGAAGCAGTGGTTTCCATTGCAGTCCAGTGTGTGGAAGTATCTGCTAACTAAACTGCAAATACCTCTGAATCACTGAGGGAGGAGTGGTTAACCTTTGGCAAAGAAACTGCAATAGACTATATTTCCCATGATGCTCAGCCAGCAATAAAATCGGGGGATCATGGGAAATGTAATCAGCTGCAGTGCCATGGTCTCAGCCATCCATGATCCAGTGGGGTGTACAGTGAGAATGCAGCCCTGATGGCAGTCACTGTGAGGGAGTGAATGGGACCATGTTTTCCACACTCAGCTTGTTGTTGTAGCAGCTTTGTTTTGTGAACTAGTTGGACGGGTTAGGGTGTTGCTGCTGCTTGGGATGCTCTGGCCAATGGCACCAGATCCACCCTGCTGTGCGTAAGAGAGCAATTATGGATTTAACCAAGCCTATAGTGAGCCACAGCCAGCAGTCTATGCATGCACAGCCACTCACAGCCTGCCCCCTCCCCAACCAGCCTCCTCCCCCTGCTCAAACTGACTGCATCACTAAGGAAGCCTCCTCAGACTCTCTCTCACTATACTGAGTGCATCACTAAGGAAGCCTCCTCATACTCCCTCTCACTATACTGAGTGCATCACTAAGGAAGCCTCCTCAGACTCCCTCTCACTATACTGAGTGCATCACTAAGGAAGCCTCCTCATACTCCCTCTCACTATACTGAGTAAATCACTAAGGAAGCAAACTGACTCCTCACTCTGCTGAGTGCAACATTAAGAAGCTTTCTCAGACCCACTCTCACTCTCCTGAGTGCTGCATTAAGAAGACGTCTCAGACTCCCTTTCACTCTGCTGAGTGCATCACTAAGAAGCTTTCTCAGACTCACTTTGCTGAGAGCATCACTATACTCTTTGGATCACTAAGGAAGCCTCATCAACCTCCCTCTCACTAGGTTGCAGACAGTCCCAGCCTTGGTATGGCTGTCTGAGTCCAGACTTGTCCTCCCAGCTTGTTTCCAGCCCCATACTATGACAGGAGTGTATGAAAGGAGAGTGCCCTCCATCCGTGCCAGTGACTTCCAGACTCCCTTCCAGGCTGCCAGCATCATGCACCATCCTTCCCAGGACTCCCCCACTTTACCTGAATCCACAGCCACAGACTCGGGCTATTACAGCCCCGGAGGAGCTAGCGCCCACCCGCACCATGGCTACTGCTCGCCTACCTCGGCTAGCTACGGGAAACCTCTCAATGCTTACCAGTATCAATATCATGGCATGAATGGGTCTGCCGGGAACTACCCTGCAAAAGCCTATGCTGAATACAGCTATGGGAGCCCTTACCATCCTCACCACCAATACAGTGGGGCTTACAACAGGGTGCAAGCGGCCACTAGCCAGCCAGGTAAGAGGGGTAAGGGTACCAGTGGGCATCTGAGAAACAGCCATCACCACCAAGCTAAATAGCAAGAGGGTCACATATAGGCACACATACTGCCTCATAAAATATCCTCTAAAATAGCAATGTCTGTACACACATTATATAGAAAGTGTGTGCACATTCTTTTATATGTATATTTCATTTACAGTGTAATCTGCAGCCATTAAGTCTTATAAATGCCCTGTTTATATTGCATTCTGTTTAAAGAATGTACACACAGTAAATGTAACATTACTTTGCATTCTATTTTTGGGAAATCGTTACATGGAACATTCGATGGCTGCATTCTGTTTATGCAAGTTACCCACTTAAACCATAACAATGAATCTTTTCTAAACATGAGATAAATGTTTTCAGTGTGATATAAATGTACAGACACATTACAGGCACACAGGACCCCCCCTGGCAGTAGTTGTAGTGAGTGCGATAGCTATTTATTCCCAGCTGTGGTCCACAACAGTCTGAGCCAGTCCTAAACCATGTCTCTGCCTCTTCCTTCAAGGGTTTTATCTCTTTCCATTTATAACCGAGGCGCCGCCAGTCAGCACCATAACAAACCGCAGAGATATTTCCTAAGAACACACAAACAAAACAAAAACCCAATGAAAGGCTCAGCAGCTCCCATCGCCCGCAGCAGTAGTACGTACACAGGCGGCAGCCCCGGTAAGGTTCCCAGCACATACAATGTGTCCCACTAATTATTAACCATACAAAGGGCACAGACACGAACCACTAGACCCCCAGATGGCTTGTGTAACTTTCTTGAGACCTGTTGACTCCATGTTCATGAAAATAGGCCAGTAAATGCAATAAAAAATAAATAAAAAAAACAGTCTCAGGGAAGTGTAATAGCAACCGAAACGTCGACCTACAGTTTTCTGTGTCCAGAACAAACTGAATTTTAGTTTTCTTTTAGGGTTTGGTTTGTTTATATATTTTATTTTTTTAGTTGGGGGGGGGGATTTGTTTTAATTTTTTTTATTCTTGCCCAGATGTGTTATTTTCCTATTGAATTACATTATATTTAAAATATATCATTTCATTTTTTTGTTATGTTTATTTTCTTGTCTTCTATTATATAGAAAGGGTGAATAATAAAGGAAGTTGTCATCTAATAGTCTTTTCATTGTTCTTTTCCACTCCATTTTATTAAGAAAAACACAAACCCCTCTTGTTCTGTGTATACAAGGAATATATGGCAGTATGTTTATTTTTGCAAACAATAGATTACATCTTCTGTTATTACTTGGATAGAAACGGGATTTCTGATATTTATTGATCGGTTTGTCCCCCTAACAAAGGGATGGTGGTTTTACATAGTTTTGTTTTCAAGTCCCTGCAGCTAGCTGTTTAGTGGACAAACCCCCTTTATGCATTTTTAGGGTACCTTGTTGTACAGTCTATAAATTGGAAGAACTTTCGATAAACATAAGGTCCGTGTAAGGACCATGGGGGTGGGGGTGGGGGTGGGGGGGTATTTTACAGCTGTCTTTGGGGGTTCCCAGATAACAGTTTATTTGTTACAATGTATTGGAGGGGGCATTCCTATGTGTAGACTGCTTATGTGCATGTGTTTGGGGGCTAGCATGCTGTGAAGGGTCCTTGTGTGCTTGGATCTGGGGGTCTGTGTCTGTGTAAAGGCTCATTGTTTGGCTGTTTTTGGTGTGTGGTGGGGGGGAGAGCTGCAGGGCTCAGACATTATAGAAGAAAAGTTTGCTCCACTTTTAGAAGTGAACCGCTGTCTCTGTCTCATCTGACCAGAGAAACCACATAGTGTGCAAATTACAGAGCTGCCTTTCTGGGGGGCTTTGAACTCCTAGTTGTCCCTCTTTTGGAGCCTGTGTATGGTTTGAATTGGGGTTTCCGCTGGACCACTCTCTCGACACATTAAACACTGTCTGGTGCCTTGTGTGCCCGCTCACTGTCTGTGCCAGTAGAAAGGGAGACCACAGCTCAGTCTTACCACTCCTGGGCAACTGTGACATGATCACACTGCTTCCTCTACACAATGACACACAAGGAAACACTCCTAAATGCACACGAAAAGCACATAAAAACACAAAAAGCACAGACAGACAGACAGATAAATAGTCAGACACACACACATTGTTACATTAGACGAAATTGATAGAATAGATAAATGAATTAATAGGAGGTAGATAAACTGTCTTTGTATAGATAAAAATCTAATGTTTAGATTTAATATATAATTAATTAACACAATTTTATATATTCCAAACTTTATAATCTGCAAGTAATTTTATCATTATTCCCCTGATTTGATATCTAAATTATTGTGTCAATATCTGGAGATCTGTCTGCTATGAATTATATTCTATAATATTTGCTAATTCGTTCGGCTCACTTTTCTAACAGTTGTAAATAATATAATCTAGTATTTGATACACAAATCATACACACATACAAATATAACTTTCAGTTCTGTTTTATTTGTTATACCTGTAAAACATTGTGGGTTAAGCATTTGATAACACAGTTGCATTTTAATTATTATAGCTGTAATACAATGTAGAGTTGGCGCTTGGTGAGATAGTATTCTTTTTGTTGTACATGTGATACATTTCAGAGTTAGCTGCACTTGGTGATGTTAATTATGCTACCATAGCCTGAGTACAATTATTTACGATAATTATGAACTGAGAGGAAGCAGGGAATCATGTCATATTTTGCCCAGAAGCGATGGAAATGAGTCTGAACATAATAAATATAGAGTGGAATGTGGCATATAAAACGATTATAGACTGTCAGCTGGACTGAAGAATATTATATAAATGTAATAAGTAGGGAATAAAATAATATGAATATAATGCAGTATACACTAAGAGTGTACGATACAAAATGGCATGTAAGATATAGAATGGGAGATAGACCTATACAAGCATTAAATGAAAGAATATAGACTATACTAGAATATTCGAGTGCAGAATGCAAAGTCATACAATGAGTACAGAATAGAGAGGTAAAATATAGAATAGAAGGTGCAATAAGTAAAATGTGACTGCAGAGTGTAAGGTGGGATATTAATGGATATTGAAGGAAGGTGGATTAGAGAATAAAGATATACAATGCAAATTAGAATATAAAACGAACGGTGTAATACAGAACGAAAATTAGTCATTAGAATAGGAAGTAGAATATAGAATTGAAGGTAGGATAGAGAACGATATAAAATGGAACGTTAGATATTGATCTGGATTAGGGCGATATACGTTTGTATTGATTATCATATTCAGAATATCAGGATAACAGAATATCAAACACGGCAAAGTGAATTCACAATCAGTGTGTTTTGTCCTTCAGAGAAAGAAGTATCTGAGCCCGAGGTGAGAATGGTCAATGGAAAACCAAAGAAAATACGAAAACCACGAACGATTTACTCCAGTTTCCAGCTCGCAGCGCTGCAGAGGAGGTTTCAGAAGACCCAATATTTAGCGTTACCGGAGAGAGCAGAGTTGGCAGCCTCTCTAGGACTGACGCAAACACAGGTATGCAGCTCATAAGGGTTCAGACTGTGCATGATCTCTGGGACACTGAGCACCTGGGGGCTACAATTATAAATAAAACTCCGCTACAAGTTCTCGAAGTGGAGCAGTCTCCATGGTAACTCGTGGGATATTTAAGTTGATTGCTCCACCCTGAGAACTTTCTTTTCCAAACAGTTTCTGTAATCTGCCTCCCAAAGGCTTTACATGTGCAGAATCAGTGCTACATGGGACATTACGTCGGTTTCTGTAGTGATTGCTCACTGTTTACACTTTGTCCCATAGTTGTTCCTTAAACATATTCTAGGATCTATTTAATTAACAGTGAGCTGCAGCAGGGTCAAAACTGACCCACAATTCTCGAATGAGTTGAAAATGGATCCTGAGTTCAGCCAAATTGGAGATTTTTCCCTATTCTGCTATTTTAACCTTTAAGGCCAGTTATTGCTCAAGATTTAAAATATGTCCCCTGTTTCTTTTGGAGACAACTGCTTTTTGTTGTCTGAAACATTAAAATTAATTGTACTACATAGTTTCGGTAACAAAACAAACAAAAAAATATTTTATATAATTTTACATAGAGTGAAAAAACATTATTATATGTATATGTAAATGACTCAACATTATGCAATTTTATCAAATTAATATCATTTTGTTTGTTTTTTAAATTGGACCCTGTAAGCTTCTGAGATTTTCTGATTCCCTTAAATCAATATATCCTTTGGTAATGCTCACACACACTAGCTATTTCAGTGTTGCCCACTTGTGTACGTGTGAGCAATATTTTTAGGCCCAGTCTAAGCATATACTCAGGGCTAGTGTTTCCTCTCGGTTAACACAATTATCTAGCACATTTTGTTTTGTTTGCAAATTTATTTAAAAAAAAATATGTAATATATTACATTGCAAGGAAATTTAGTTTTTGTTTTTTTCGGTGTTAATTACACATTAAATTCGGCTATTAAAAAATGGTACTGAGTATTTTTTTTAAATTTCAAACAAGATACATAAGTCTACTGATTAAACAGGCAGTTGTGGAATTTTAAAAATAGACTCTCAAAATGTAGGAAGAATGTCTAAATGGCCATAAAATCTCCAATTAATCATAATCCTGTGAGCTATTTGGCTTTAATTTGTGCCAATCAAATTGGACTCGTTTATTGGTTAGGCCACAGGAAGTAAAATTGCAGTCCTGTGTATTTTTACAACACATTTCTATGATTGTATTTACTTATTAACTATAGTAAATCTATACTAATATATTATACAAGTGAAAGTTGTGGGGATATGTGAACCAACTCTTACAAAATTATACAAGTAGATTATTTTTGCTCTTCATCCAACTGGCCAGGAGTGAAGGTTGTGCCCAATTTGCCGTTTAGTGAAGACATCGTATAATGGTGTTAGCAGAGATATTGGCTCTTGATGATTTGAGTGTTATATATCTATATTACTATAGTATCGATGAAGTTTTACCTCGCTAAACTGCCCAGCTAGCATATCAGGAAACGGAAAGTAAATTCTATTTCAAATAAATGAAAGTATTATTTTTTTATTTTATTTTTTTGGTTTAACCCTTCCTGCACAAGAGTTGTGAGCCACACATTTCACTCACAGGCAAAATATATTTTAGAGACTGATGCATTATTCTGTCACTTAACCCTTTTGGTAGCGATGAAAAATGCTTCCTATCAATATTCTGGCACATTTCTATTTTGCATTTTTGTAATCGAGTTTAAAGGTTTTTTGATTTTATTTTTTTTGTTTGTTTATTTTTAAAGGTGTACGGAAGCAAATTTGTGCTACAAATGAAAAGTTTAGCTGAGTGACTGTCATATGTCATAAATTTAACCCATTAAGCTTTAAGGATCTGGCATATATTTAATATCTTGACATGCCTTTCTTGTTAAGTGGTCTTTTAGGGGTTAAAGGGAAACTTTCAAATGATTGATGTACTGTGTGTCATAGCGAGATGCAAAGGTCGTGTTTAAATTAATGTTCTTTTGCAACATTACAATATTTTACTGTTCAATTTACCTACAGCAACGGAAATAGCACAGGGAACCTGTAATTTTACTGTCCAAGTACTTAAAAGTTGTTGTTTTTTTATATACATTACCCAAGCTTTCATCCTTCATAATGAATAACTGTGTATAGTATGAGTAGGCATGCCTGTTATGTTCTATCATTTTTATTTCATTTATTAATAATTTGATACATTATTTCCACAATCTAACTGTTTGTGTTTGTTTTTACCAATTTAGGTAAAAATCTGGTTTCAGAATAAAAGATCCAAGATTAAGAAGATCATGAAAAATGGGGAGTTGCCCCCAGAACACAGCCCAAGTTCCAGTGATCCAATGGCTTGCAATTCACCCCAGTCTCCTGTCGTTTGGGAGCCCCAGGGATCATCAAGATCCCTCGGCCACCACCCTCATGTGCACTCCCTCTCCCAGAGCTCTAACAATTCCCCTGCATCGTCTTACATTGAGAACTCCAGTGTATGGTACCCCACAGCCAACTCTCTCAGCAACCACCTTCAAACCCACAGTTCACTCCAACACCCCTTAGCTCTGGCATCAGGGACTCTGTACTAAAAAAGAAAAAAAAACTTCAGAATTTTTATTATTTTTTATTATTATTATAATTATTATTATTTTTGGACTGTCATGTTTCAATATTAAGAAGAAAAAAATATGAATGCATAAAATGGATTTTTTTTTTAAAAAGCAAAGTATATTGTGTAAAGCTTGTTGCATGTAACTTATTGCATTTCAAAGGAGACTTCTTTTTTATACAAACTGACGCAACTGTGGACACTATTAGAATGGTGCCTTCAATCTAAGACCTCATTTTTCCACTTTGTTTTTTTTTTTTCCAGAGACTTTTTCAATGTTCATTTTAATCGTGTAAATAAATGTAGATAGATGAATTAAACTGTATATTCTGGATAAATAAAATTATTTCGACCTTGATAATAGATTATTAATTGGCCAATATCAGTTAAATATTTATATTAACATATATATATATATATATATATATATATATATATATTAGATAAGTGCAACATTTCGTCTCTATGGCAACTACTGTGTTGCTTCAAACATTGATGCTAGGATCTGAAGGTCGCTGTTCTATCCTTAAGCTAGTAAAGGCAATTGTGACTCTGACTGTAGTTTCGTTAAATGCCTCCTCTATGCAGACAAGACATTAACACATTAATGGTTTATCCCCCTGGGAATTTTCAACGTCTCCAGTACAGAGTGTTAATGAATAGATGTAACCTGCAATTATATGGATCTTTAATAATAGATACCTAGATATAGATAGATATAGTAGTGTAATGTGTGTGTGTGTATGTATATATATATATATATATATATATATATATTAACATGTGACAGTGAGGGAGTTTAAGCATGCGTGGGATAGGCATAAGGCTATCCTAAACTTAAGATAAGGCCAGGGACTAATTAAAAGTATTTTGAAATATTGGGCAGACTAGATGGGCTTAAAGGTTCTTATCTGACATCACATTCTATTCTAACTAACAAGCTAACATGCAGGCAGGTAGGTGACTATTAAGGCGGTTATGTGACCATGCAGGCATTTAGGTGATCATGTAGGAAGGTGGCTTTGTGGGTAGATGTGCATATCTTTCAGGCAGGTAGGTGATTATTTAGACATACAGAGAGATCATGCAGGCAGGTAGATGATCAAGGAGGAAGGTACAAAACTGCAGGTTGGTTATCTTTCAAGTTAGTTAATAGACCTTGCTTTCAGGTAGCTAGATATTGCAGGTAGGTAGCAAGTGAGTAGAGAGACTGCAGACAGGTAGATGAAATGACAGGTAGCTAGACCTTGCAGGCAGGTAGGTTAACTGGCATATGTGTAGGTAGCTTAACCTCACAGATAGATGATCTGACAGGCATTGAGCTAGACCTTACAGGCAGTTTGGTGATTAGGTAGGTAGCTAGTCCTTGCAGGTAGGTGATCATGTAGACAGGTAGTAGAAGGTGGGCAGAGCAGGAGGTTTGGAGCCATGGCATGCCACAAAGAAGGACAGGCTGTCAGTTAGGGCTTGCAGTAAGTAATAGCTGCAGACACAGCCTGAAAGGCTGGCTTCATACCCCCAGGCTCTCCTACCTGTCTCCGTGGTTTTATCTGCTGGCTGTCTGCTCCCCTCCCCGCACTGTCTGTCTCTTTGTTATTGCCTGCCAGTTCTTTCTGTTAGATAAAATTCAGACGGTTACTTAGCTTTGTCTAAACCCTCACACTTCTCTTGGAATGTATAGTGAGAAATGACAAACATACTCCATGTCTATAAAAATATGAGACCGTATAGGCAGAGAAATACAGACAACGTATACAAGGTGTTTGGGTTGTGTCTGTGTGTGGTATATTGTGTATATGTATGTTCTAGATGCGCTATTGGTATATATCACATGGATATGTGGGTTATGCTATGTTGTTGGATATGATAGCTGTCCTGTGTTTAATGTGTACCTATAATGTGCATTTGTATGTTACCCTGCATGTGTGGTAGTGTGGTATGATATAATTATGTCTTTCCTTGAATGTCTTTGGGAAGTGTGTGCAAATGAGTTTTGTTTGGTTCTGGTTTATGTACAAGCGTGTATTATGCTTCATATCTATGAGTGCTATGTTGTGTGTCTAAGAGTTTGCAGTGCATGTGTGTGCTTTGTGTATTTCATATATGTGTGTATGTGGTGAGTTTTAAGTGCATGTACATGTGCAGTATATGTACATTTGGTGTTTAAATATAGTTAATGCCACTTTATACATGGATTCCTTGGAGTATGTATTTGCTGTATACAACAGCTTTGAAACCCAACGCAGGAAGAGGTGCAATGCCAGTGAACCACTCATGAACAGCTGATTCTTGTTATTTCAACTCATCAGCATGAGATAGGTTACTGGCTTCCTATGGAGGCTTGGCTACTTGTTAAGTACATACCAAATACTTTGTGGTGGGAGTTGTGTTTCCAAGCTGTTGTATGCAGCAGACACATATTCCAAGGAATCCATGTATAAAGTGGAATTATGAGGCAAAAATGTGGTTCTTTGTTGAGCTTATTTGCATACACCTACCCAGAATCCCTTGCAGTAGTGGGAGCACTGTTAAAGTGAGAGTATTGTATATATGACCTTGTGAAAGCAACACAAAGGCACCAAAACATTTTAAGCTTAATGGAGTGGTTCTGGTGTATTATTCCCCTGCTGTTTTACTTCTCAATTCTCTGCCATTTAGGAGTTAACCATTTTGTTCATTCTGCCCTAGTTACACCTCCCTGCATGTGACTTACACAGCTTTCTGAAACACTTCCTGTAAAGAGAGTTCTAATGTTTAAACTTACATTATTGCACAGTTTAATTCAGAATGTCCTGCTCTGTTTATAGTTGGCTAAGCCCTATGAGTGCCTCCTGTGTGTGATTAATGTTCAATTTACAGAGTAGGAGATACCTTTCAATATGAAACTATGTACATGCAAGATGTGTGACTCACAGCCAGGGGAGGTATAGCTTTGGCCACATAAACAGAAACAAAAATGATCTAACCTCTAAATCACAGGGAATTGAGCAGTGAAATCGCAGGGTCATGAACACCAAAACTGCTTCATTAAACTAAAGTTGTTTTGATGCCTATAGTGTCCCATTAATGTATATGTACATTTGGGGTGTTATATGTATGTGTGTATGTTATATATGTAGGTATATACATATGGATGGTGTAAATGTATGTTAAATTATGAATCTATATGCTTGGGTTGTATGTGTGGTGCTAAATGTGTATATGAGTTTGGATATGAATATGAGTCTGTGCCTTATATTTTGCAGTCCCACTTTAGCACACTTATACAAGCACACAATTAATTTTAAGAGTTAATCTTTAATTCATTATTGGGTACATTTACTATGGAGAAAGCACTGATGAATTAAATTACTTGAAATAGCAGAGTTGGAACAACACTTCTAACCTGGAGATGTAATTATTCTAACTTTTCTAATTTTGGTCTACATTTAAAACCCAGTTTTTAGTTAAAATACCACAGTGGACACAGTGGACAAAATGTCAACCTCTTGCAAATACAGATTTAATGGACATCTTTTGCTTTTCTGATTATTTTGATTGGAGCCAGTGAGGGTAAAATAATGCAATGCAAATTACCACACGTGTGTATTAGTCATGTCATCATTATATCAATAATAAGTATAATTATCTTCAAGTTTGGATATATTTGTATCAGTGACAGCATGCCTGATCTCCCAAATTCCCTTTTTATGCATCTTTACATTGCACAGATAGCTTAATGCATTGTCATGCAAGTCACATCTCAATCAAAAATCAAATCAGTCTATTGTTATTTTTTTTTTATCTCTTGTAGATAATCAAGTGGTTTTTAAGGCAGCCTATTTGCCAAGTTCCCTAATAGAATGCGTTTTAAAACCCTATTATTCCATTGTTCTCATTGTGTTTTTATTAAACATATATATTACTAAAGATGATATAGGATGATTTCCTATGGAATCATTTGTAAAGCCTAAATAGTTATTACAGAGAATATAGAGGCTTGGGAGATATCTGACAGAATTAGTAGCATTAATTAGTTAATTAAATAAAAATAAGGATAAGGCAAAGTATTATTATTATTATTATTATTATTATTATATGTAATATTAGATACACTATTTATTTCGTTTCCCTTGTTCTTACATGCACAGCATAAAACGTTTACAATCTTTATCAAAAAGACATGACCGGTATATTAACGAATAATTCTGTTTGATAATTATAGTTAACTCCTTGGTTTGCTGAAAAATCTTTAAAACTTTCGATATATTGCTAATTAGTACCCAGTGGTGAGTCTATTTTTTAATCAGCAAATTGTGTCGAGTTGAGAGACACATTGCAAAATTGAGATCAAAACAGCAAAGCTTAGAAAAGTTTGTAGCAGATTTTCTTACAAAAATTCGAATACATTCTGAATAGCAAATCTGTTTAAAAAATAGCTGATCTGGAAAAATTCCTCTACTCAGCTTTACTGAAATCTTGTCTTTTATTTCGTATAACTCTGTTCCCTATGTGTTGGATTTCCAATTATTAATGATTTCTTCTTTCATTTAGCGTCACTCGGTGTGTGTCCCTGCGCAATCTCTTTTGCGTCACTGAATCTTTAGAAATGACGCAATATCGTCATCTTGGATATTATTATATTGCATACTGTACATTGTTTATTCAGTACATGGATCGCAGTTACACCTTCTCCCTGTTTTGCTCAAACCACGTCTCCGTTCCAGCCGGATAGGGAATTCCTATAAAGACATGTAGTGCAGCCATGTTGGGAGATATAGGGCCAGATTTGGACATTTTCACATGTGTTTTTTGTTAAGTACATGATTTGAAGGCTGCCAGACAATGGTGTACAGTTTTAGTTACACTCGGGAAATTGTAAGAGTAAAGTAGAAATAACTCGAGTTTTTTTGGGATAAAATCACATCCCTTTCCCATTTTATTTTTATAGTGAAGCACAAGAATGAAGGCAGAGGGAGGTATTTTGACTGTCTATCTCTCGAATTAGGCACCTTAACAAATTCATAATATAAGCACATTTCGCTATAATAGTCCTGTTTAAGTTAAATGATGTAAATATATATATATATATAACGCTTTATTCACTAAGCAGCGATACTTAGAAATATTTAGTTTTAATTTTATTTTTAATCTTCAGCTAAACTATAGTTGGGTTTGAACACTTTAACCTAAAACTCGATATTTCTAGTCACTACAATTCGCCATTTAGCGAATACATCCCATGTGTCGTTAATAATACATGAATTTTACCATCATTTTAATCAGCACTTGCAAAGATATGCACATTATTTGCGCTGGCAAAAAATATATACATTTCTTAATATGCGATGAGGCCTATTTACTAAACGGCGTATTCATGGAACCCGAGGACCGTGGAACTCCAGTGGCTTGAAAGAATAACAAGATTTAGTAGAATTAGGTATTTTTTACCATTTGGATATTTTAATAGATAATTTGCTCCTACATAGTCCAAGCACAGTTTAGTGAGTAGACCCTTGGGAGTTGTTGTGAGTTTACAAAAGACTTGTGACGTGTAAGTTACACTAGCTGAGTTCATCCCATCCAGGTTCCAACTTGGCTATTTTCTTTTTAATGTTGCAATTTTAGTCTTAGACACTCAGAGTCACTACTTAGTGGATAGACCCCATCCCCAGTATCTTTTCAGTGATAAACTCAATATAAGCCAACATTTTAAACCTCTCCAATTCTTTCCAGGTGTCATGTGGATGAAGAGTAATTCTGGTGTTAAGTTCTAAGGTTGATCAATTATCAGAAACATTCCACTGGTTTCCATAGCAGTAGTACCACTAACAATGTAAAAGATGATCTAAAACAGTCAAAGGCGAGTGGGACCATAATTTCTCACAATTCTATAATAAAGCATTGTGTTCCAGGGAATCATAGGAATGGACTTCTCTACTAAGTTGGGTTTATTCGCTTAATTTCGAATTGGGGTCAAATATTGTGATATGGCAACAATAACGCAAAACAAAACTATTTGCTTCTAGATTCTCACATTATCAGAATTCACTGTTTGCTAAACAAATCTCCTTTTTATCTGCACCAGCTGATGCATTTTTAAATATGTGATCGTATATTTTATTTTCTCTTCCCTAATTCTCCATCCCAATAAATATATCCATATGTAAACAGCATAATGTACACCCTGGTGGGGTTTATCCCCTTAACAGCGAATTATAAGACACCGAATTAAAAATCGCAGAATTAAGACTAAAAATAGCTGATTTGTAAAAATTCTCAAATTTAGTTATCGACACAGCTTGGTTATTTGGGCTAAAGTTGGCAATTTAGCTTTCATTTTACTGCGGATTACTCTTTAGTCACATTTTAATTAAAAGTAGCAAAATTGCAACAACAAAAAGTTGCATTTGATAGTTGTTTCTCAATGTCAACAACTTTGGGATACAATTTGCAAATTAGTTTTCCCACTCGTTACAATGGTTGGGACAAAAGCCAGATTTAGAACACGCAAAGGGCTGTGTTGTAGCTCACGGTTTGGCATTTATGAGGTTAAGTGCATCTGTTTAATCTGCATGATGTTTGCTTGTTAATAACTCCCCCCCCCACCCCATAATATGTTTTTGAAGCCGGCAGATGACACTGTGATTTGCCAAGTAATAAACCCAGTGACTGGAAATTAGTTTGTTACAAATGTCAGAGGCCTTGTGAATCTGATAGAGCTGTGTTTGAGGCGTGCAGTGGCTCATGATAACGGTCCTAGCAGATCTGCTATCGTTTCATAGATAATGTTATGAGTCAAAATTCTCTGGCAATAACCCAGGATCTGTAAACTGCAACCAGCATTGTCTGCACACGCAAAATTATTTTATATTCCTTGCTCTAACCAACCAACAATTACTGCCCAGATACATAGACCAATATAGCTGCCTTAATACCAGATATGTTTATTTTGTCTTTAACATCTTTTCTTGACAAAATGCTTAACAGGCCATAACAGTGGTAGGATTTTTTTTTTTTTGTATAGTTTTTAAATATTCCCTAAAGTCCAGGGGTGAGATAAACCTCCATGTTTAGTATTATATAATATTATTATCATTACATTAGTAAATAATGATAAATAGACATGTAGATGGATAGATAGATCGATAGATAGATAGATAGATAGCTGTATTAGTCACTGTAAGTAGATATATGTACAGCTATATTAACTACCCCAGTATAATTAAGTACATTAAGCCCATTCCCAAATATCTACTATTTACCATATATTTTAATACATAAGTTCGAATGTGATTTGAAGGCCTGGTTTACAATTCTTGTTATTACGTAAAATTCAGGTGTACAGAATATGTGTAGTACCTGTATATGTATAAGGCAAATCCATTACAGAATAATAATTACTTACATACACACACCTTGCATATACTATTTTATCACATTATTCACATACACACAGACACATACACACAGACACACACACAGACATACACACACATACACACGCATAATTCTAACATGCACACAATACCTCCACATACAACTCACTCCTACACGTTATACACTACTTCTATATTTACACACAATGGTCAACACTATGCTCACACACTATGCTTATAAACACACATACACACGCTATGTTTACAAACACACACTCACTATGCTTACAGATATACACACATTATGCTTACAAGTACACACACACTATGCTTACAAACACATACTCACTATGCTTACAGATACACACACTATGATTACAAATACACACACACAAACTATTATTACAAACACACAGACTCACTATGCTTACAAACACACACATATTCTGCTTACAAACACACACTCACTATGCTTACAGATACACACACTATGATTACAAATACACACACACTATTATAACAAACACACACACACTCACTATGCTTACAAACACACACACACACACTGCTTTCAATCACACACACTATGCTTCCCACAAGCTATAGGGACCTGGACAGACTGAGTCCGTTGTGTTCACTGGGAGCCAGATCCTGTAAATGTTCTATGATTTCCTCAATCTCACAGCCACAGAAATCAAGTCTTTGTCCTTGATCGCTGCCGCTCTTCACGTTTCACTTTATATATAGTATCATTGAAATTACAATTGTACATATTTTCCACTCAGCAACCCGTCTGCAGCGCAAAATAGGGTCCAAATAATGACTGAATTAGCCCTACTGGACAGTTTCAGATGTAACACTCTGTAATAATTATATTGCAGGCTGAATTATGATGCTATTATCATAATCTGGACGTTTACAATTATCTGTAATTTGCAAAGATGCTCTAGGTCTTGATTACAGCAGTTTTTTTATTTTTTTATCAAGCTAACCATCACTAAACAGTGACAGTAATAACAGCTAATTTTGCTGGCAATATAAGAGGTGCCGGGGTGTGCAAACAATTTCACACCTGGATATGCTCACTCAACCAAGAATACAGATACAGAGCTTCTGCCCTGAGCCACATTCAAATACTGTGCTCTGCTTCCACTCACTTTAACGTTGCTTTACAGACCTGATCATTGCTGTACACGTTGGGGATGTGAAGGTAAGTTTATATTTTCCATATTCTTTCTTATTTTAATCGTGGCCTTGGTGTGATGCTCAGTTTAAAGACTCTGTATGTATCACAAGCCTTTTATTAAAGACACATATGTTCTGTATCCCCAGTCCTGAGAGTCTAAGGAGCCTACAGTCAGTACAGGGAGAATTCTGTTCAAATCTCTTTAAATGTATTTGTTTTTTCTATAGTTAGAAAACACACCGTCTATCGTTTGCTTGCTTGATATATTTTTTAATTTACTTAATGCAGCATGACGTTCGTTTTGATTTACCTTAAATACTTTTATTACATTCTTGTATCTTTAATTCTTAAATAATGTTAAATAATATGCCTGAAAAGGGGATCTGCAAATTGAGAGGAGAAAGGTGATTTAAAAAAAAAAATATATATTATGTATTATATTACTTTAGATCTGCTTAGTTCTATTTAGGATCAACAATTAGCTTTCAAACGATAAGGAAACTAATAATACAATGATATATGTGTGTGTTAGAACTGTGTGTGTGCAAATATATAAATTTGTGTGTGTATATATATATATATATGTGTGTGTGTGTGTGTGTGTGAGTGTTGTGTATGAGTGTTGTGTATATATATGTGTGTGTGTGTGTGTGTGTGTTATGTGTATATGTGGGTGTGTGTATATATATATATATACATATATATATATATATGCACACACACACACACAAATACATATATATCTCTAAACACACATACACACACACACACACACATACACACACACACATATACACACACACACACATACACACACACACATATATACACACACACACATATCTATACACACACACACACACACACACATATACACACACACATCACCTGCTATCTGTAGATCCCATCGGGCATAATAGGATGAGCTGAGCTGTTTCTCTCTATAGATGACGCTGTTCCCTGGTTCTGTCTATAGGAGACACTCGCTGTCTGTTGCTCGCTGTCACACAGACCTGGCTTGTTTAATTGCTTCACCTTAACATTATACATGCATTATTCCAACGTATTGCTGTCTGTATGCACTCTCTTTAACCCCTTCACTGCATGGCAAGCTAGCATAATAAAACAAACTCTCTAGCTCTCTAACATAAGCTACTCAACTAGGTAACAAATTCTCTCTCTCACACACAGACACACACAAAACCCTCACATTTATTCAACTGACAGGCGAGAATGATCGTTCGATGGTTCCTTCTCCCCACAGAGCGATAAATATCGATTTGTAACGAACAGGATAGAATGCTGCACGTGGTGTAAGATTGTGACCTGGCTGCTATTAACCCATTGTGTGCCATAGAGTTCAGGGTAATATCCTTCTGGCACCACATGGGTTAAAGCAAGCTGCAGTGACCTGTATTACCATTAACCCTTATTTACCTGGGGAGAAGACTCAGAGCCACCGGGGCCAGCAGATCAGGTGTGTCCAGGGTCTCCTATTAGGGGGCCACACACAAGGTATTGTCTGCCCCATTCGGGTTCTTTAAAAGCGTGTTTAGCATAATGTGAATTATACAGCGATCTTCCAGCAGCTGTAATACTGGAGCCTCTCTATTCTTTTCACTATTATAATTTTGGTTAATTTTCAATTTTAGGTCCTACATCTCTGCAATTTGTGTATGAATAACAGAATAATTTTCCTCTTTTGTTTCGCCTTTCCTGTTCCTGAATCTAAATAAAGATGGCTTTTTAGTATTAAGAGTGGAAGAAAATTACAGGTAATTATCTTTGACGGTAAAAATGCTGTAATCAGCAGGGCTACATGAAAAATTACTCTAATTATGGCTGCATTTAAGAGAATGGAAAAAAAACCTTCTTGTGGATAAAAACCTTAAATTGTCCCCAATGTCTGCTTCAAACTGGATGGGACTGCAGCTGCAGCTTTGTTCAGCAATGATCCTGGGGAGATGTGAACCCAAAGTTTCACAGTGGGAAGGGGGGAAAGAAAAGAGAGCACTTTTCTATAATATAACAATACCAGAACTAGAAAATGACAAGACTGATCGGTTTTAAGCCATTCTGAAGACTGGCTGAGAGTGGAACTTGCTCAACAACAACAAAAAAACCTGGTATATTGGTAAGTAATCTTTGCTTTGTGCCTAATTATAGTGACTGTCCTTTTTTCATCACTCTATGGAACTGTCATTATATCGAACACTCTGAGGCTGTCTATTGACTTCTGATAAATGGCTCAGTGGTTTCAAGGTTCAGGGTATGAAGGATGCCCAGGTCTTGCTATTAATTCTCCCAGCATGGGGCTTCCTCTACTATGACGAAACAGCCTTTCAATTCCACTTATTTTATGCATCGTATGACATTGGGGCTCAGTATACGTGTATGTCAGTGTGCATGCTTGTGTGTGTGTGTGTGTGTGTGTGTGTCAATGTGCATGCTTGTGTGTGTGTGTGTGTGTGTGTGTCAGTGTGCATGCATGTGTGTGTGTGTGTGTGTGTGTGTGTCAGTGTGCATGCTTGTGTGTGTGTGTGCGCGTGTGTGTGTCAGTGTGCATGCTTGTGTGTGTGTGCATGTTATTGGTAGATATTCTTTACTTCTTTACTGTTTGTATATAATTTATTTCCTATTAATATTGTTTAAACTTGCAAAATAGGTATATATGTACACCTCTCTATCTATCTATCTATGATATAATTTTGCTTATAGATTTATGTTATATAGTTACACACGTATATAGATACGCAGCAATCTGGGCTTTGCTTTCACACACATATTATAATATTTTATATATACAATAAATACTGTTATATATAAATTAAATATATATATATATATATATATACCAGTGTAAAATGTAAAAGGTTTGCCAATTTGAAATTAGAGAAATAATTTACTCCTAGTCTGTAAGTGGCTCCCGATTTGTAACATACATATATATAGCCTGATTTTGGTAGTTTCGGTAGTATAACGCCGATATTATCAGTGTTTTATTTCAGTAAGAGCATTGCTAAATATAAATGGGTCTTACAGGGTTATACTTAATATCAAATTGCGAGTGGACAGCTACAAATATTAAACAATCCCAATATATGGTTAATATATATCTGTGTGTGTTGGGTATGTGCAGGATGTATATTATGAACCTAAATACCTGAATATATTAATGTGTACTAGTAAACATTGAGTTTCATATGGAATTCCTGTTTGAGGTATAAATGTGTGTATGTATATAATATTAATATATATATATACATAACAGTATAAGGAAATGATTGATAAATACGACAACCACACGATTTGAGGAATGCTTGAATTTTTTTCCATTTATGAAAGACAATAACATACAAAGTATATACAACTAAAATTCAACAATATATACATACATTTCATTTTATTATAAAGTCCCTAAAGCATTTCAAATGAATGTCACCAGGCAGTCGTGTGCCCCATTTTCTCCTTTTCACAGTCTATGTAGAAAACAGTGGTTTCATTTTTACCTCCTACCATTCATTTGATCAGACATGCACCTCTTTCCTCCAAAAAGCAACATATTATAAATATCCTCCTTCAGTTCAATCCTTTAGCCTGTGGCCATGGTTTCCTTGGGACTCCATGATCTTGGCATATTGCTGAGCATCACAGGCTGAGACTTTGCATGGAAAGTTTCACCGCATTCCACACCATCATTCCAAAGAATTTTATGTCATTTTATTATTTGTTTTTGTTTCTGTTTTAATTTGCTTTGTGTTTGATTTTTGCTTCTTTTTTTTTGCTTTTGAGCCCAGGAGAGAGCTTCCAAAATAGAGGTGTATTATGTGCGCCAGTATGAAGGTCAATGAAAATTCAAGTCATATCACTGAGGTTTCTGAAAAAGCGTGGACTCTGTACCACAATTCTAAGTTCACCCATTTGGCATGACCGGTAGTCAAGGTACTGTATCCACTACAGTCATCCACAATAAAAAATAATATTAATAATAAGCAATGCATTTGGGAGTTTCACATCATCTGTGATCTCTGCATTGTGTCTTGGTGTGGGGATGAATACCAATGAGAGTAACCAGGCATATAGCTGTTTGGGGGCATATTAACACCCTTGGCAGATCCTGAAACGTCCCAGACAGGAGGAATTGCTGGAGATCGAGGAGAAAGGGCAGCTGTCCCTGGTAAAGGGTCACTTTCATGTGGATTACCGCCTTGTTTCAACAGCTTCTTGTACTTGGACCTTTTATTTTGGAACCAAATCTTCACCTGCAACAAGAGAAAAAAAATGGAGTTCAGTGTTTTAAAAATAAATAAAATCTGCAACAGGCTTCCCAGAGCAAGCTAATTAAAGAGGTACTCTTAATTATTCAGGTAATTTTTTTTTTTTTTAAAAAGGACAATATGTAGATTATCATTAACCCTTTCGTTGCCACGGTGACTGTCAACTGCACGTTAGCCTTCTGGCACTTAGTAGAGGGACAGCTAGAATATGTACTAAAATAAATATAATATATAATAAAACAATAAGATTAATTAAAACAAACACACACACACACACAAAAACCCCAAATACTAAATTATTATCTTTAATATTAATTTATTATTTATATAGCGCCATCATATTCCGTAGCGCTGACTAACAGACATGTAATTGTAACCAGACAACTGGATGTACAGGAATAGAGAGGTGGAGGACCCTGCTCAATGAGCTTACTTAATTTTATCCTATCAATAGGCTTTTTTTGCTCGTTTATTTTATTAATATCAATAAACTACACGGTGTGGTATCAGCTCATAAAACAGGCACGAGGAGAGATTTTTGGAAAGTCTGCTTGCAATTTGTAGGCCAGAACAGTTACAAAATAACCTCGAACTAACTGAAAATGAAGTTACTTTTTTTTTTTTTTAAATCCAGTCGCCCCTTTTTGCAAGTCGGTAGTCCTCTCACCACAAGTTACTGTTTAGTGAATAAACCCCTTTGTATGTTGCTATTAGTTGCTGTATTCCTTGGGCTAGTGAATATTGATTGCGGGCTAGTAAATATGATGATTGTAATTATTTATGAAGAAAGGTGTTTATGTGAATCAGTCATGCATTGAAATGTCAGTAAAATAAATACAATGCACACCAACACAAATATATACACAATGAAACAAAATATTCCCTTGCCTCAGGCTTCAGGTAACTAGTGAGCAATTTGTATCGATGTAAGGCTAGAAAAAAATGTGATTGCATCTCTTGTATACTGTAACAAGGTCTACAGACTGCTCTATCATTCACCTTGTAAACACATTGATGGGAGAGGGGCTACCACCATGAACATGTAATGTCAGATCAGTATTTAATCTAGTTTTTCATTCACTGCACTTTCTTGATGAAGTTTTTAAATTATTTTTATTAAACAGTTTGCTTGATTTAATTTTTTTATTTTTTTTAAAGAACACTTTCCACAAATAAACACACAAACCTATGGTTTATTGCATTACTTAATTCAGTCTATAATAGTCAGGCAGTGAATATAGAGGGTGCACTATCTATTTGAAAAAAAAAAAAAAGCTAAAATCTATAATTTATCAAATTCGATATTTGCCCCAAATAATGTCTGTCTGTGTATCCATCGAATGTCTGTCGGTCTGTCTATCTCTAGCCGAATTAACCAGTTACACGATAGGATTACACTGGAGGGATCTACATCTACCTAGAAATCTCTATTTTAAATACTGTAATAGCACAAAAAATGAATCACAGAAACATACATTTTGAAGTCAGATTAAGGACAGGTCTCTCCAGTAAATGCACAGTTTTTTTTCTGATTTTATTTCCTGATGAGGCCAGCTTTTTGCCCATATTAATCTATGTTTGACCCCAATGTTTTAGCCTATATCAGTCTACACCGAGGCTGGTGGCTTGTACACAGATATAGTTTTGTGAATATAAAATCAACATGTTGCATTATGTGTTTTGTGTGTAAACTGAACTTCATTTTGTATTATTATTTTTTTTTTTTTTCCGAGTTTCTGAATTCAGGTGAAAGGGCCTACCTCACTTGGAGTGCATTGATCTGTGACTAAAAGAATTAGGAGTGTTAAATGCCTTAACCCCTTGTGCACGAGGCAGGTGTTTACACCCCTTTAGCTGTACAGGGCTACAAATATGCTAATTTATTTGCACTCCCAGCATTCTGTTCTGTTTTGCAGTTAGCTCCATTGTGTGTTTGGCCTTGCTGAAGCCACGAGTATCACGTGACTCTCAATATCTGATGTTTACCAACTGATTTACATAATTCCCTTTTTTTATTGGTATTTTCTGTGAAATGGTGTTTTTTTTCATGCATACTTGTTTTTTTATTCTGTTTTTTTGTTTTTGTTTTTTGTTTACCCATCAGTCTTTTTTGGGGCCTGGCTGTACAGTTTTATTATTATTTTAATAGCAAAGCAGGATCAAAGCCTTTCTATTGTGGAGAGTTAGGAGCCTTACTGAATATATGGCATATAACTTTGCTGTAGTGAGATTGGCACTCCTGTCTCTCACATACCCCTATAGGGCAGCCTAGCCCTGAAGCAAGATTCCTGATAAAGCTTTGCTGAAATACTTTACACTGGGGACACCAAATTGGGGTTTTTGGGGCTCTTGGTGGCTTCAGGCTGAAATTAATTACCTGTGTCTGTGTTAATCCCAACGATGCGGCCAACTCTGCTCTCTCCGGAAGTGCTAGGTACTGGGTTTGCTGAAATCGATGATTTAAAGCCTGCAGCTGGAGGCTGGAATAGATAGTCCTTGGCTTCCTTATCTTTTTTCCTTTGCCATTAAACCTGATTTCACCATTTTCTATAACTGTCGTTTTTTGCTGATCTGTACAAAACAATAATAATAAATTAGTTACACTTTTGCTAATAAAAATGTATATGCATGCATACTGGAGAGGCAACAAAATGCATTGTAATAGCTCAGTTATATGTATATTAGTCAAATATTGACAAGGTATTTCAGACTAAATAGTGAGTGTATGTTGTGTGTGTGTGTTTGTGTGTGTGTTTTAGCATTTTAAATTTAGGAATTAATTATTGCACAGGTATTTCAGTCTAAATAGTGTGTGTGTGTGTGTGTGTGTGTATGTGTTTTAGAATATTAAATTTAGGAATTAATTATTGCACAAGTATTTCAGTCTAAATAGTGTGTGTGTTTTTGTGTGTATGTGCTTTAGGATATTAAATATAGAGATTAATTATTGCACATGTATTTCAGACTAAATAAGTGTGTGTCTGTTTATGAGTGTGTGTGTTTTAGATCTTTAATGCTAGGAATTAATTATTGCAATGGTATTTCAGTCTGAACAGTGAATGTCTGTGTATGTATGTTTTAGAATGTTAGTGTTGGGAATTAATTATTGCAAAATGCTTTCATTTAATGCAGGTATATCGTGTCATTGTTTTTTGTATTTTTCATAAACTGCTGACAATCTGCTCAGCAACCAAAATCTTACACGGCTAATTGACTTTATATAACCAATTTACTGCATAGTGGGTGAACAATTGATGATTTGAGTTCGTGTCATTTTAACATATATATCATCGAATCAAATCATTTTGCCATCATGGTTGCAAAAAGTGGAGAAAGCATTCCTTAAAATGGAAAATCAACCAGTTAAATAAATAAATAAATATAAATTACAGCTAATTTATAGCAATTTAGAAACATATCAGTGTTTGGTTTGTCATCATATCGACATTTATTTATTATGTATTAACCAGGCCTATAAACAATTTTTAAAAGCCAGAACAAATATATGCTTTCAGACAATAGAATTAAAATAAGACAGGTGCTTAATTGCACATAAAACAACACGAACCAACCTTAAAATATAATAAGTCAGTGGATTCGTATGATCTATAACTATTTTTGAGATGGTAATTAATTATGATGCTTTAATTTGTGATCAAGAGAAATGAATGTATCCAAAACCTGAGAACACATCACTCATTATTTATTAGCATGTAAGCCACTTGTTGACAAAATTATAAACCTATTAGATTAGAACCTTCAGAGGCCCATGTATCACAATAGATGGGAGATACATTAACCTGGCATTGGTGTGTAAATGGTTTGAGCTGTAAATGTGCATAATACGGTTTTAAACGAAAACCATGCTTTAGGACATTTAATATTTGTGTCTAATGGGAATGCAAAACAGGAGAGGGAGCTGCCTTTATTTCGTTATATTCCCAGCTATTCTAAATCCTGTCTTTGGCACCATCCAGACAATAGCATGTTAGGCAGAGTGGAACAAGAAACAGTTAAACTGGGAAATCAGGTATATACACAAATATCCACTTGCTACTAAATACAGTATGGCTATAAAATAAATGCCCCAACATTAAATAGAACATATGTTAATAAACAAAATACTTGATCTCTTAATATAGAAATAACCAATATAATAACGTTAATTTCAAGAAGAAAATAAAACCTATAATTATTTTAAATATCTGTGGCAGTGGGATTAATGTGTTAGAAATACATTGGCTATCTAGCAATACAAAGAGGAAGTTGCCTTACAAAATGTACCATCTAGCACACGTAGGCAAATTGTCACAGATTAGTGGCAGACAGAAGATTAAGGGACATTTGGCCTTATCTTTTTTAATAAAAACCTCTCATGATTTAAGATTTATTTTTAAATTAGATCAGATTCTGTACACACTTATCAAGATGCAACAGCAATTTGCTAAACCTGTTTTTTGGTTTTTTTTTTTGTTGGGGGGTGGGGAGGGAGTGATTGCATACGAACTGGTTTACATCTTGAATTTTTTTTTAATTATTAATACTAAATTGTTGAATAGTTACATACAGAATTACACATAGGTGAACTGGTAGCTAAATACATTATTTACTTGCTAAAATGAAAGCTGAAATGTATAACAATAACCATTCTCCATTGAAAAATTTAACATAATGGATAAAAAGTCAGTGAAGCTGGAATAATTCTTGTAAATCAAATACCATATCTGGTTAAAAATAAAATAAGCCAAGTAAAAAATAATAACTATTAAAAAAAAGTATATATTTTATATAATATTATATATAATAATAACAACAAGGAAAAACTAAAGAATAAAAATGCAAAAATGTATGCTTAGATGTAAATATCTCGATTATGAACAAAACCCTGTCAAGTGTTAATTTGTTTTTGTTTTGTTGTTTTTTTGTTTTTTTTCTAAAAAGATCTGTAAAGAAATACGGCGCGTTTCTGCACAATTCCAACATATTTGACACACACTAAAATAATAATCATCATCATAATAATAATAATAAATAAATGAAATAATACTGGATCAAATATTAAATGGCCAAAATAAAATCTAAAAAAATATATCGCTACCACTTCTAGTACAAATAAAAAAAACACACAATATAATAATAATATAATAATAATAATAATAATAATAATAATAATATAATGGTATGTGTGCAGCAAGCTGTCCAGGGTAAATGCTGTCGCCCCCCATGCCATGCACTCTGTACCCACAGGCTGGCAAGGAGCAGGGCTAGTAGCCCATGTGCTGGCAGGGGGTTAGGGCTAATGCCCACAGGCTGTCAGAGGGAGCTAGTGGTGGCCTCACCTGGCTCCTCGGTTCGGGTCTGGGTGGCCGTACTGCTGCTGCTGCTGCTGTAGGACTGCAGGTAGGGGCTGTGCTGAGAGTGGCCCATGTAAGGGTAGGCGGCCAGCGAGCGGTTGTACGAGTTGCTGCCGGTGTAGGACGAGCTGTCGTGCTGCTGGTGCGCCTGGTGGTGGTGGTGGTGGTGGTGAGGGTGGGAGCCGGAGTGCAAGCAGTGCAGAGGGTAGTGACTGGCTGCCATGGCCGGGGAGCTCTGCTGGGAGTGGGACTGCTGACCAAACTCCATAAAGGCAGACTTGGAGGAGTCCTGAGCTTCCAAGCCGTCAGCCATCGTAGTCATGGTCATCATCAAACTTTCTGATTGAGAGCAATCAACCCCCCTCCCCACCCACCCCTCTGAGGCCACCTACCCTATACTTAAGGTAATCCCCCTCTCCCTGCACAGAGTGAGAGGGCCTTACAATACAGGGGGAAATGGAGCCCTGTGTGGGTTTTACCCTCCTCTCTCTGGAGCTTTATTCTTCCCCCCTTCCCTTTCCCTAATTCGTTACTTGTTTTGGCTTGTGCAGTTAAGGCAGAGATTTAAGGTGGATTCTGTTAAAGTTCAGCTTCTGCTTTTAGACTTCATGCAGACGCCACAAGTCGAATGGTTTGTCTCCAAAAGGGCAGCGCCTCCCGATTGGTCAGTCAACCCCCTGACGTCACAATCCCTCTGCTTCTACTGGCGTTTTGTGCCTGGGAGTGGAGTTGGAGCCCACCTTTCATGAGACTATATTCTCTACCCCCCAATAGCACAGGATCCCTTTACATGTGCAGCTCCTCACACACTCCTCAGCAAACAACAGCATATACCCAGCGCCTACACACACCTACAAGAACAAAAATAATAATAATGGAATTTGTATATTGCATGAGAAAAAATAAAATAAAAATATATATATATATAAAAAATAGATTTTTTTTTTTAATGTATTATTATTATTTTTTTTAACCATCTTATCACAAGCAGGCCTTACAAGTCAACCTTTAATAATTAAATGTTTACATTTAAAAAAAAAAAAAAAATACTAATAACTATTTGTCATCTATTCCCTAAACTGCCATCCACTGTAGACCCTCATTGGGTTAATTTGCATTTCATCAACATTGTTAATTATTCATAGTAAGAAGCACATTTGAAAAGTACCCTCCTTCCTTGTACAGGATCCCAGCATACAGCATGCAAAAGGTGAATCTCCTGCATATTGATAAGTGGAGCATTCACACAGTGTTTGGTGGCCCACGTTAGCCACACACAATTGGCTCTGGAAAACTAACCAGTAAATGCTATATTTTTAGCAAGGATTTGTGGATCAGTAGCTGTTGTGCATGTTTTATGGGAGACAGGCTGATGTACAGTAATATAATCAAGTATATGCAAATCACACCATGTGGTTTGGTGGTTTTGGCAAATCCTGATTACTATATATATATGCTGCTGTACAAGTGTAAAGGCTCCTCGTCATGGTTTTATTTCTTGTGAATTCCCTTCTTTTTTCCCCCCTAACTTATTTTATTTTATAGTCAACACTGTTAAATGGTAAAAATAGAAGTCGATTCACAGGTATTTTTACATTTGTAGAGAAGCAATTAGAGATCTAATCAGGAATACACACACACACACACACACACACAAATCTCCCATGATTAACTGCAGTACTTTGTTCAAATTGCTGCTATAAAATTCAGAACAATTTGTCTGTAATGATTATGGACTTGGTTTATTTTGGGAGGTGGAATAAAAAGTGGATATAGCATAAATTATCCTCTAATTATACACCAGTGTCGCCTCAATTATCCTCTTATCAAAATGGTTGTCTAACTGCAGCATTTAGTTTCACTTTTTTTTTTTTTTTTTTATAAAAAGAACCACATACATTATTATTATTAATCCATTTATTATTTGCAAGGGGATTTATATGTGAACGTTCTAGCTGCTGGTTCCACTTCTCTTCCAAAGATGGACTGGGGACAGACACTGAACTTTGAGCAAGATGCAGTGATGGATGTAGTGGATGTTTGCTAGGCAGCAGATATAAAGCAAGTTAAAGCTCTACTCCAGGACCTCCTTCCCAGCTGTCAGGTAGGAGATTTTATTGTATTACCTATAGATTGGATCGGTTTCATCCCAGGAGTATGGGGATCCTCAGCAAAGCATCTTCTTCATCACAGCAGCTGGGTTTCACACAGGACAAGAAGGGACAGAATTCGCTGCAATGATTGTATTTTATGTTATTTTGATTAATTAGTAATAGTATTACCTCGTGCGCAGTGTAAATAATATGGAACGCCTGTAACTGTTATTTTATCAATTGCATGTTAATCTATGTACAGATTGTGTTAATGGGGGCGATAGAAAGAAAGAAACAAAAAGGTAGATAGATAGATAGACAGACAGACAATAGATGTATACATCGATAGATAGATAGATAGATAATAGATCAATAGAAAGATCGAGAGATATATATTAGATAGATCGATAGATAGATCGATAGATAGAATGATAGATAGATCGATAGATGGATAGATAGAATGATAGATATATAGATAGATAGATAGATAGATAGATAGATAGATAGATAGATAGATAGATAGATAGATAGATAGATAGAATACAATCTGGATGTAAGCAATAAGCACTATCTATAATAAATGAGGATCGGATATTGGCATGGCTACATAAGTAATTGCCGATAATCGGATAAATAGTACAGTATTGCTGGTCTCTAGGTAGAGCTGGATCCTGTGTAATGTCAGTAAACACGAAAAGGTGGATTAGAATTTTCACTGGTATTCTGTAATAGCCTCCAGGCAGCCAGCATTCTCATACAGCGTGTCCTACAGGTGCACATGGTCTATACATTGCAAGGCACAGGGGTGACTGCTAGACACAGCTCTGCATACAATATCTCTATGTGTCTATATACAGCATCCAAAGCAAAACGCACATTGTGGAGAATTAGAATTCAAACAGTGCTGTGTACGAGAAAGGAAGGTTTATGCGAATCTATTTGTGTATATTATATATCTATATTTCGAATACCGATCTATCTCTCGCTACACAAATAAATGTATTTGTAAATTTTATATACAGTATCTAGATATACACAGAGTCATACATAAACATGGAAAATACAAATATATACCTAGACAGATCTATATTTATTATTTTATAGAATGATAATAGTGTGTAATATATAGTGTGAATTCTACATATTATTATATGCCAGATAGACAGACAGACAGACAGACAGACCGATTTACACATACAGATGTGGCATACTGTTAGACGGTATATGAGCAATCTGGTTTATAACATATACATATAATATATATTATGTGTCTATCTTTTATATATATATATATATATATATATATATATATATATATATATATATATATATATATATATATATATATATATATATATATATATATAAATCCTCTGTGTGATTTGTGTGTTTTGGGAGGAAGGATTAATTCCCTCTGGGGGTTCCATTGCTGTTAGGTAAGGGTTAGGTAAAGGTTCACCGTCTGATTTTTTTTCCTCAGTTAATTTTCCAGTTTTAATTAAGCCAAATCTGTCTTCATTAAGCTACCATTTCCCAATGTTGATTGGCTGATGCTAATGACTCTTGACTGAATGAAGTGGAGTTTGTTGTAAATATTTATTGTTTTATTTTCTTCTCTCTCTCTCTCTCTCTCTCTCTCTCTCTCTATTTTATACCATTGATAACCCCAGCAGTACAGACAGAGAGAGTGAGAGAGAGAGAGAGAGAGAGAAAGACACACCTTTCAGAATTGTAAACTGCTTTGGGCTTTTTGGTGGCACCAAAATTAAATAATAAATAAAGGTATTTTTTTGTTGTTTTTTGGGGGGCTTGTGTTGCGTTTAGCTGTGTAGCCGCCGGGTCACCATAGGTCCTATTGTTAATTACTGCTCATCTCTTTGTGTGAAGAGCCCTCTGAAAGCCAGCCATTGTTCAGGGTGTTGTAGGGTATTTTTCCCCCGCTGTGACAGTGAATTACCGCTTAGGAGTGGACCTCTATTGCTTTTACAACATTATAAAAGGGATGAACTGTTGTGTTTGTTGTGATTTTGTTTCTGAAGCTGTCTGTGTGATGGGTGGGAGGAGTAATTGTTTTGGAGGAAAGGCAGGTGTAGATAAGGTGAGATCTGTTACACCTAAAGGCAGGGTCTATTCGACTTCAGCAAGGGAAGCCCATAGGTAACCTTCCATTTGCTGTCAAACTACATTTCCCATGATGCTTGATGACAAAGAGTATTGGGAATTGAAGATCTTCACGAAGCTGTCAAGTTACCAGGCTATAAGTAGTTGCCTGACCCTGATGCCAATAGATTTGAAATGGATCATGGATGATTTAATGGTATCAATAAATTGATGGCTTTCTGTTGTGTGCTATTATATTGGCATTATTAACCCACATATACCTTCTTCACACTCAGCTACAACTATTGCATTACATTGTCTGGAATTCAAAGTGAAATTAACAATTTTGGCCTTAAATATGAAATTAATTTAGATTTCCCCCAAAATTTAGATGTTAGTAAACTGCCCTCCATAGTTAAACAAGGGGACAGGATCCGAACGGGAATTCCCCGTTGAAAAGTTAAACCGGTTTCCAGCAGGATCAGAAATAGGAAAATGCAATTTTCCCGTTATATTTTAGAACTGGTAGTTAATCCCCGTGAAACGTTCTGGTATTGGAACAGTGATACAATGTTTCATTCTTATCTGCAGGTATCAAAAGGAAATAGAATTTTTGGAGTGTGTGCGTTCCACGAACGTTCTAAAAAGAATAACAATGTATCACCAGCCTGTAAACACAAGCGAAAATAAGACCTCGAACAAATCACAATTTTAAGGGCAATTAAACGAAATAGATGCGAATAATAATCGTAATGCTTTCGGATCAGGTCAACTAGCATAGAGATATCACTGCTTAATATAATCTTATAGCACTGACCAGTGAGCTAGTGGGCCTCCTTTTAAAATGCATTATATTTCCCATCAAGCCAGAAATAGTCAACATTGGCACCTAGACACTTTGGACTACATTTCCCATGATGCCTGAAGGCTGACTGAACATCAAGGAATATCTAATTTACTAACAGCTTGGGTGCCAAAATTATCCATCACTATAACAGCTCACATTTGATCTATGAAGATGGATTTTGCAGTCCAGGGCGTTGGAGTGCCCGAATGTTGCAATTTCTGGACCCTTTTTAAACCCTTAACCAGAAAAAATAAAAAGGTCCTTGTGTGGACCCATTAACTCCCTTTGTATCCCTTACCTATGTATGGATGTTTATTAAAAAGCAATGGCAGGTGATTTTGACAACTGTGGACAAATCCTATCATGGTAAGCCAGCTCCAGGTCTGAAAGTTGAATTGATTTCAGTGCATTTTTTAATTATGTAATTTTGAAGGATGCTAGGAGAGGCAGAGCTGGCTGTATCTTTTTGATGTACAGATATTAAATGAAGGTACAATTACTGTAACAATCTCTATGTCTTTAGCATTTATTGATCTAAATTCAACAAATCCTACGAGGCTGTGTACAGTGAGTAAAGGGTATTATAATATCAAAGACTTCGTTTTCCTAATAGCAAGCGGTGACTAGTTGAGAACTGGCTTATACAACATTTCCAAATCAGTTTAGATGTATTAGCAAATCTTTTTTTATTTTCCAATTTATTGCAACTTACAAATTAGTGAATAAGTCAAAGAGCTGGAAAAGTCAGCTGGCTAGGCCTGTATGTTGCAAATTAAATTCTGAATTCCCCACAATTCACAGCCTGTCGAATAAAACTCCCCACAATCATTTGTTAACTAGTCAATAACTGGGAAAGTGAATTAAAAAAAATAATTTCACATTTTAGACCAAAACAGTTACATTGAAAAACACAATTGATTGTAAGATTTTTTTTTTACCATTTGGACTATTGTGGCCTGTAATTTGAAGTTAACTTTGTATTTACTTTGATTCTCCAATAATATCCCACTTAGGGAATAAATCTGCTGTTTGTGTCAATTAGTGCTTGAATTGATGGCCCAGTATATATCAGCAGTGTCCAATCTATCTGCTATCTGCTGTGTACTGCAAACCCAATCACATTCTGTCCTGTGATGGGGATGTTTGGCTGCGCATACTAGTAGCAGTATTCCACAGCAGCTATTTTGTCAGAGTTGCTTTTGCCTGGTAAATAGCTCCCTTAGCAGAACACACACCAACAGGAAATCGGTGCTATTTTTAGGCTAACAGCCATATGCCATCTCTATATAATGCCTCCGAGCTCCCCTGAACTATTCTTGAAAAATGGTTCAATTTCGTTTGTTAGTTTCCTTTGCATTTCTCTAAAACCAATCTCCCCAGATATATTTACCCCCGAGGACTCCTTAATGTTTCCTGTTATTGCAAGGACAGAGAGAATATACACTGCAAACCGTACACCATTATACAGCTTCCCAGGTCCAGAAAGGTTATTGTCTACTGAATATGTAGAAATAATAATAAAAATACTAGTAGTAATAATAGTAATAATAATATATTTCCATTATCCTTTACTCATCCAACGATCCTGTGCATGAACTCCAAGAGATAACACATTTGTTATATAATGCCACACTAATTGCTAATAAGACACAAATATTTATTACATTCCATGATATGTGAATAACTATAAATACACTTAGTGATAGAGATGGGACTCCTTAAATTAATCCACCCCTATGGGTAAAAGCTGTATCAGTAGTAGTTTTGTTTTTCAAGAAACAGATGGAGCATAGTTAGGCAAAAATCACAAGCATCAGCACTTGTAGCAAAGCAATAGCAGTTCTTTAATCAGTTCTACTAAGGGGTGCAAAAAAGGTAGATCCCCAGACATAATGGTTTGTCAATCTTAAGGCATACAAAGCACCATGGGAGTTGTAGTTCTAAATATCTGGGGGCAGCCCTGAGTTACAATATCAGTGTTAGTAATAGCCTGTATTATAGGTGCAGTAGTAGTGGGATCGCAGTGTTAGTAATAGCCTGTATTATAGGTGCAGTAGTAGTGGGATCACAGTGTTGGTAATAGCCTATAGTATAGGTGCTGTAGTAGTGGGATCGCAGTGTTAGTAATAGCCTGTATTATAGGTGCAGTAGTAGTGGGATCACAGTGTTAGGAATAGCATGTATTATAGGTGCAGTAGTAGTGGGATCACAGTGTTAGTAATAGCATGCATTATAGGTGCAGTACTAGTGGGATCACATTGTTAGTAATAGCCTGAATTATAGGTGCAGTAGTAAAGGGATCACAGTGTTAGTAATAGCATGTATTATAGGTGCAGTAGTAGAAGGATCACAGTGTTAGTAATAGCCTGTATTATAGGTGCAGTACTAGTGGGATCACAGTGATAGTAATAGCCTGTATTATAGTTGCAGTAGTAGAGGGATTACAGTGTTAGTAATAGCCTGTATTATAGGTGTAGTACTAGTGGGATCACAGTGTTAGTAATAGCCTGTATTACAGGGTGCAGTAGTAGTGGGATCACAGTGTTAGTAATAGTCTGTATTATGGGTGAAGTACTAGTGGGATCACAGGGTTAGTAATAGCCTGTATTATAGGTGCAGTAGTAGTGGGATCACAGTGTTAGTAATAGCCTGTATTATAGGTTCAGTAGTAGTGGGATCACAGTGTTAGTAATAGCCTGTATTATAGGTGCAGTAGTAGAGGGATCACAGGGTTAGAAGTAGCCTTTATTATAGGTGCACTACTAGAGGGATCACAGGGTTAGTAATAGCCTGTATTATAGGTGCAGTAGTAGAGGGATCACAATGTTAGTAATAGCCTGTATTATAGGTGCAGTAGTAGTGGGATCACAGTGTTAGTAATAGCCTGTATTATAGGTGTAGTACTAGTGGGATCACAGTGTTAGTTGTAGCCTGTATTATAGGTGCAGTAGTAAATGGATCACAGCCAGGTTAGTAATAGCCTGTATTATAGGTGCAGTAGTAGTGGGATCACAGTGTTAGAAGTAGCCTGTATTATAGGTGCACTAGTAGTGGGATCACAGTGTTACTAGTAGCCTGTATTATAGGTGCAGTAGTAGTGGGATCACAGTGTTAGAAATAGCCTGTATTATAGGTGCACTAGTAGTGGGATCACAGTGTTACTAGTAGCCTGTATTATAGGTGCAGTAGTAGTGGGATCACAGTGTTAGTAATAGCCGGTATTATAGGTGCAGTAGTAGAGGGATCACAGTGTTAGTAATAGCCTGTATTATAGTTGCAGTACTAGTGGGATCACAGGGTTAGTAATAGCCTGTAGTATAGGTGCAGTAGTAGTGGGATCACAAGGTTAGTAATAGCTTGTATTATACGTTTAGTACTAGTGGAATCACAGGGTTAGTAATAGCCTGTATTACAGGTGCAGTAGTAGAGGGATCACAGTGTTAGTAATAGCCTGTATTATAGGTGCAGTACTAGTGGGATCACAGGGTTAGTAACAGCCATAGTAGTGGGATCACAGTGTTAGTAATAGCCTGTATTATAGGTGCAGTACTAGTGGGATCACAGGGTTAGTAACAGCCATAGTAGTGGGATCACAGTGTTAGTAATAGCCTGTATTACAGGTGCAGTAGTAGATGGTTAGTAATAGCCTGTATGATAGGTGCAGTAGTAGATGGATCACAGGATTAGTAATAGCCCGTGTTATAGGTGCAATACTAGTGGGATCACAGTGTTAGTTATAGTCTGTATTATAGGTGCAGTAGTAGTGGGATCACAGG